GAGTGCTACCATCTGTCTGTCCCCCCGCTGTGCCAGACCTCGTCCAGTCCCCCCCCACCCCCCTCACCCACCCCCACCCACCCCTCACCCACCCCTCACCTACTGTGAGCTCCTGTAGTTTCAGTAAATGTTCCAGTCAAACTCTCACACACAAACACACACACAGCCATATACACTGAACACGCTCCACTTGTTTTTAAATTATGTCAAAGCTACATGAAAAATGTGTTACTTATTTCATGTGCATTTTTGCTGAAGACTTCCCTTTCCCTGTGCATACCAAGTAAAAAAAAAAAAAAAAAGAATCATTAAGTGTTTCGCCCCGAGTTCATTCTGTAATTAAACTTGAGTGAGTAAGTAATGGCTATCATGTGTCGTCTCCTTATAAAACTGAGTGCGTTTGGGGTAATTTGGTACATTAACTCTCACTTCTATCAACAACTGTAGTTCACAAGGAAGAAATCTAAGACTTTCAGGTGTCTCATGCAGTTATTGTCCTGACCTGCTTGAAAAAACAATCACAGTAAAACCTAAAAAAATTCTATTAAAATGCACGGCATGAATGTGACCTCAGATTGACAACAGGATGGAAATGTGTGCGTGTGTGAGACTTACATGTTTTCTCTCAGTGGCCTTCAGGGACTTGGCAGGGTAGTAGTAGAGCTGGGCTCCGCAAAGAGCGACCCAGTATTTGGTCCATGACGCCACCTGGAGGCACAAAAGTGAAATCTAAGTCAGGTTGAGTCAGTGAAAAGGCTCCAATATGGCTCTCATGCTGTCAGATTCTGATGATGAGTAAACTTTGTGGGATGTTTGTGTGACTCTTGTTCCATAAACACTGAAAGCTTTTAAGACTAATACAAGTTGAGTTATGAGATGAAGGGAAAGCAAAAGTGATCAAAAAAGGGACTAAGTGAAGCCTCTAATTAATACTCCTGATGAGAGGTTTTGCCAGATTAACTTTTTTTTAACCATCAAGGAAGCTCATAAATCACCCAACTACCTATGACAGTTTTAAGTTATTTTAACTGCATAAAGAGCTCCAGATTACTTTCTAGCCAAAACAGAATAGGATAATCTCAGTACAAATATAAAATGGCTTAAGAGGCCCAAGGCAAACAAAAGCAGTGGGGAATGCAAGAACTATCAGAGGGAAAGGGGAAATACAGTGAGTATAAGGATCAGACAGAAACAGAGATGTTCTGCAGGTTAAGGAGTCCCTGAGGTCCTATATCTGCGCTCTGCAGACAGCATTTATTGCCCATCTGCTCCTGTATAGTTGTAGGTAGGTATATATGTATGAACAGCACATGGACACATGCACGTGTACATATGAGTGTATGTGTGTGTGGGTTCTTACTGTTGGTTTCTTGCCCTCCTTGAGCACAGTCTTCCGCCTCAGCACCCCCTGCACTGTGACCGCTCCGGGATACAAGTGAACTGCGAGCTCCTCTGACTCCGCTGAGCTACAACAGGACAAAGACAAACATTACAAGCTATACACACCAACATACACACAGGAAAACATGCATGTACTCATGCACGCACACATACCAGATCAAATCACAAATGAACTAGTAGTAAAAAATAAAAAAGGCAGATGCAATCTGAAAAGCCACCTTAAAACTACATCTATGCCAATCTTGTTTTTACAGAAGTGAATTTCACAGATATAAATCTGAACACTGGTATCTCAGAGAGAGGAGCAGAGGCAGACAAGGTGGTGTGCAGATTGTGTCTGTCTGGAGGATCAGAGCAGGAAGCCCAGTGCAGGAGCCCAGTGAAGCCTGGTGGAAAGAGAGAGAGACCCATCCCCTAACCGCAATGCAACGTCCGTGAGAATTGTCTTTAATAATCCTGAAGAGTCTGTTCCTCTCTACCTCAGGAATGAGGATGTAACAGTTTGTTTCCAGTAACACATGAAGCTGAGTGTGACTTTGGAAACTCATTTTTAGCTCCAAGCTGTCAAATATGTTGGAACTTATCAAGAGAAGAAATGTATGTTGACTATGAGCTCTCTGTGTGTATGTATGTATGTATGTATGTATGTATGTATGTATGTATGTATGTGTGTGTGTGTGTGTGTGTTTGAGAGTGAGGCAGACATGCAAGAAGTTTAAGAAGGCAAAAAAGGTAGATTATAGACTGATGGTACGCAGCAAAAGATGAAGAATCATGACCCCAAACTGATCCTTTGCCCATCACCTGATTCGGGATTCCACCAGCACACACAGACACACACACACGCGCGCACACACACACGCACGCACACCTGTTTCCCACCACAAGATTATCCCAGCACTACACACACACTGCACCAGCAGCAGGCCCCTTGCAGGGATAAAGTGAAGTGAGGATAAGAGAGGGTTTGTTTGAGGTCAGGTTGGTTTCCGGTCGGGGCGTGTGTACCTGCTGGGCCTCAGGACTCCTCTGTAGGGGATGCGGGCCACACGGGTCACTGGGCCCAGAGAATGATAGAACCGAGTCCTGTTCAGGATAGGATAAGACAGGATAGGATAGGGGGCACGGGACACTGTTAAGGCTGTGTGGGTGTTTTTTTTTCGTTGTCTGTTGTTTGTTTTTCCCTTCAAATTGCATTGGTTAGGGCTAGATGGAGGAGCGGTCATTTGGTTAGAAGAGTTATTGATGAAATGTGTGGTTAAAGGGTCATTCATTAAATAGGTTAAAGAAATAAGGTTAAGATGATTTTCAGGCCAGTTGAATCTTGAGCTGTGCATCTTTATTTCAGAACTAGTGAGTGTGGCTGCAAACACTTGGCACAGTGGGACTACTGGTTAGGGGATTTAAATGTTAAGCACTTAATACATTTCAGGCTGCTGAAGAAGCAGAAGCATCTGAGAGCAGCGGTGGAGGGATGAGGTACGATGGCTCTGCTTGCGAGGCTAAAAAGCGAGGCTGGGCATGGCATTTGTGTGTGTGTGTGAGCTTTAATGGCAGATCATTGCGCATAGCTGTGTCTTGAGGCCAGAGCTTTGGAAAAATCATACAATCACATCTGGGATGGGGATATTTTTATGATCTTACATGTGGATGTGATGAAAAAGCTCTGCAGACACGGACATATTAACCTTACCTCTCAAAAGCTGGCCAAGACACCTCTTCACTGAGCTCGGAGCCCTCGCTGCTCCCTGTATACAGAGACAAATCATCACAAAAAATACACAACATGTGGTTGAAGATACTAACTGTGCGTGATGGTAATAAGTATGCATGTGAATGTCTTACCAAGTGAAATACCGCTGGACAGAGTTGAGCTCTCTGCTTGTCCCCTGGTGGGACTGTGGCTCTCCATCACACTGTCATCCAACAGATGGCGAGAACCAGCATTGGGAAACGTAGCGCTTTTAAACTCTACTGTATTCATCTTATGGATGAAACTATATGGACACCGAACCCAGCAGAGAAGGAGAGATAAGGAGAGGAGAACAAAGAAAGAGGTAAGCATTCTTGGCTTTCCTGACATGGTTTTTCAAATTCTGTGTGGTTTTCAGGCCATCATCTTCATTATTGCCACAAAAACTGACTTGTAGCCCAGGCTGTGGCACTTCCTGTGTCCGTAGGGCAGCAGGTTCCTGGGGGAGGGCGGTGTGGCTGGGACTTTGGTTCCTTCAGCTGCTATCATACATTTACGGCCGCAGAGAGGAGATGCTGAGGCCTCCTGGCCTGTAGGTAAGAGAGGGTGAGAAGGACAGATTTATAGACCAGGAAGAACAGAAACAAAATGAGATGATGAACAGGTATAATTCTACATTAAAAGACCCAACTGACCGACAAGATCCTCTTTGGAGGCGTTTGCGCGTGGTGTGCTGGTGCCTGGCTCAATCTTCTGTGACAACCTAAATAAAGAACAGTCAGCTTGAATTCATCCTCTGTGAATTTCTCATCAGAAAAATAATTATGGGGAAGGAAGTTTTTTGGGAAACACAGATGAGGCAGCAAGCAATAAAATCAGAAACAGGATAAAAAAAAAAAAAGAATTATCTTAATCTTCCTGGCAGGAAATTGCTCCTGTGACTAAACCAGAAATTATGCTTGGTGTCCATCTGAGTTGGCCAACAGTTGCTACAGAGTTTTGTTTCTTACTTGTAATTGTCGTCCTCCACAAACTTCTGCAGCTCCTCAATATACCTGACTGAGTTGAGATACTTCTGTACATGAGGCAACACTGGTATATCTGAAATGGTGAAGATGATCACAAACATGAAAATAAATTTGTTTATGTGAACCTTATGTGTTACTAAAACTGCCAAGATATGGAGGCTATAAAGTATGTCTGGATGTTTGAGGATAACAATTTACTAATAATATGAAACTATTTGAATATCTACTACCCATATGCTGGGGGACCTGTAAGCTCTAGCACTGAATAATAAGCAAGAACAGCAAGACTATAGTGAAACCAGTCCAAAACATGTGGAGAATAGGCACTAATTCAAGGGTATTGTGCCTCCTCATCTGGACTTGGGTTTTCTTCCCCCCCACAAATTAAAAGTAGGAAATTTCCTACAATGATTAGTTTTGAGTGCAAATTAAGGAAACTAATGAGTATACTTGATGAATAGCAGAGATTCTTTCATTACGTCTCCATGGCAACAGAACAACAGCGGCCAAGGCTATGATGGAGTTTTGCTCCAGTCTTTATACTGATTTATTCCTCCTTTGTGTTGGAGATAATCACATGTCAGAGTACGGTGAGGACTTGGAGTTTGGACAGATCAGCTGACCTCCTCACAGGTACATTAGCTAGGTGGATGTTGGCCTTGGTCCTCTAGTTTTTCCTGTCCCTATCCCACACTGCCATCCCATGAACGTGTGACTGTGAGTGAGTTGTCTAAACGGACCGTAGGTACAGGATCTCTGCAGGTCCGATATGATTCTGAGAATGTTGTTCATCAGGTTTGATCTCTGCTCGTTCTCCAGTATGCTGCCCGTGGAGGGATAGGCCGAGTCTATATACGTCAGATCAGACAGGTACATCCCTGAAACAGAGCAGCAGACAGAAAAAGATTTTACAGCAAACTGGGAGCAATAGACAGCCCTCTTCCCTCACCCTTTACTGAGTCCAGGGCCCCAGTGCAAGCCAAATGAGGACAGCGTCCATCTGTTGGAGGTTTTACATTAAACACAAGTGGGGACCACAGGGATTTTCCTGCCTGCTCATTTGAAAGCAAACACAAACAAGGCTGGACATCATAATAGGCCAATTTCCTTGGATGCATGATGCAAGTGCCATGCAGCTGTGAATTTCTTGGTGTGAGGACCAGCTGGTAATCGCAGACTGCTTGTTTGAAAACAGAGAGAAACAAGAACCATGCACGAACTGTCATATCTGCATAAACTTTGCTCCAGTTTCAAAAATACTTTTTGCCCTGATCTGCTCCCCAGGGATCTAAATGAGTGCCTTGAGTGGATGACTTATCTTCTCTTCAAGGCCAGCTATCTTTCACCCCTGTTCCCTCTCTCCATGCCTCTTTTTGGCAGACTTGGAGGCTGAGATTCTTAGTCTCTCATTACATAAATATTAACATGAAGAGACAAACCCAGGAGCAGCTTCCCACCACTCTGAAAACGGAGATTAACAAGCTTCAGAAGTGAACTGTTGGTGTGCTTTTCCTCCTCTCTCTCTTGCTCAATGTGTCTTTCACACGCCAGCGTCGAGATTGAGTGCAGATGTAAGAAAAGTTATCACACATTAGTCTACATGACACCCCACATCCCCCTTTCCTTGGAAAACAGTGCAAGATTCACAGATGTGTGCACATACACATCCATTTACAACACTGTGCATGCAGAGTTTAAACACAGATGCATAAATAAGCAACGGCAACAGAACTGCAGGACCAGATTCCAGTAGATAAAAGGGCCAAAACCTCATCTTCAGGATACCATATAAACACACAAACACAACACAATCTGATTAGAATCAGAGAGAGAGGGGTGCTGAGTGCAGGAGTTACAGGTCACAAGTGTTTGGAGAAGCAGCTGTAAGGGGGAAAAGTGAGAGATGGGGAGAAGAGGAGGAAGAGAGGGATCCTGAAGGCTTAACCGCTGTAGCTGCTCTTCTGAGAGCTTGTCAGGGATAACAGCAGTTAGTAATGCACAAATCCATACTGCCTGGAACACCCACAGACAGATGCATGCTCAGAGGACCAGTGGTTAGCGTAGACAAACACTTTACATGTGGCAAAACTTGGATGAAAAGAGGATCCTGTTGAGAAGGAGGGAAGAAATGGGGTCACAACGTATTGGAGAAAACTTCATCTTCTATCTGCTCTTTTAAGCCAGTTATCTAAATAATATCTTTTAAATATTTCAGCACCAAAAAAACAAAACAAAACACATATATGTCCATGTCTTATACACCTAAACACATTAAAGTAAATGGCAGCAGTGATAAGGAGCAGGCAAAGACCCGACAAGCTCAGACTACACCTGGAGCAAGGATTTTGCTCCAATAACAAATCAGTTTTATCTGCCTTCCTTTTTCTCTGGCTCTCACAGCTGAAGCTCAACAGGAAGCTGCTCCAAAACCTCAGCAGCATTACAATCAGCTCTTCCCACTGCTAAAGGAGAAGGCAGGAGGGGAGGGGGATTGCGGGTTGTAATCAAAGAAGAAAGGGTCAAAGCAGCTTGTGTCTGAGCCCCAGACTCAGCAAAAACACTTCTGAATTCAAAAAAGGTCTTGTTTCCTTTCACTCAGCTCACTTCTTCTATACAAGAGCAATGAAGGTCATTGTTGAGGATGGGAAACTTAATGAGGCGGCACTGTTATTCTCTTTTTCTGTCTTTTTTCCCCCCATCAGAGTGACATCAGAGGTAGGCTGGGCCACTCAAAAAAAAGAAAAGGAAAAAAAGGAGGCAATCTCAAACTCCCACACCCTCATCCCCCTTCTCCTCCCCCTCTCTTCCTCCTTCCCCTCCCTCTTTCTAGTCTCCCTCATCCTTTGTGAAAAACTCAAGGCATCAGTCGTCAGAGCTCAGTCTGTTGAAGTGGCCGGCTATTGAACCATGCCCCAGCCCAAGCCCCAGGACAGCTGAGGTCCACAGGGAGGAGCACATCTTTGAGGAAGTAGGGCCTTGGCAAAACCTTATGTTGTGATTTTCAGCTGCAGGACAGAAGGAGTGAGTGGAGGGGAGAACCTCAGAAGACTGGGACAGAGAGAGAGAGATGAGTCCTGAGCACTGCAGCTCGGTGAAGACACAATACAATACACAGGTGAAACTATAACTGCAGGAAACACACCCTCACTACTGGTAACAAAAAGGTAAATGTTGCCTGAGTTCATTCTGTTTTCAAGTTTGTTTTTTGGAGTGCATGTGTGGAGGTGTATGTATGAGTATGTGTGTCAGGGCAGCTGTGAGAGCTCTGGCTGAGAGGTTGGAGAGGTTAGGACGTTTCGTGACTGGAGGCTCTGGCTGCAGACAGAAACATTTAGCAACGCTTCTTTAGCTTTCCTCTGGAGTCTGAGGCCTGGGATATACTGTGTCCAGCATGCTGAGAACTGTAAAATGTGTATACATTCAACGTATGTGACCTACTATACATGATACCAAGTAAGGGATGTTAAAAGTGTCTGGGATGTAATTTGTTCTAGGCAAAATTCAGGGATGAACTCAAAGTATGATGTTGGTGATTTTGGTATTTCCATTGTGTAGAAGGTACATTTTAACTGAACGATGCAAAGGAAAACACTAATAATGATAATAATGAAAAAAAGGTTTTAGTCATTGGTGTCTAAGTGTGTTCTACTGGATGTAACAGGAAGAAACACCCCCACTTAACCTAAAACTTACACTAGGCCCAACCTGAAGAGAAATAGAAAGAGAAAGAGAACAAAAAGTGAAGAGAAAGAAAAGTAGGGCATTCCAGCTAAACACTTGAGGGAGGCTGATCTGTTCAGATGGAGAGATTTGAGCTGTGGAGCCAGGCTTGTTTATTTTTTCTTGGCTTCTGGTTTCCTAATACAGCACCATCTGAGCTCTGCTGCTAACAGGGGTGCAGGGATGGAGCAGAGTTAACCTGGTGGAATCAGGGTTAGATCAATAATATTACACCTAATGAGGTGGTGACATGTCTCTCAGCACATGCTTCTCCTTGTTACACGTGGGGGTAGTGAGATCATATATTCAGACGTAGAGAAAATACATTGTAGTTTGTTAAAAAAGTCTCTGAGAGAATACAAGTCCCTTTCACAGGGTTGTGTTTGGGGGAAGCATAGCGATAAAAAAAACTTAATCCAACCCTAACCACATCCTCTATCAAATATACCCCGTGGACATGAGACACTTCAGTCACAACCTTGCCATGATAGCAAAAGCTTTGAACACTAACAACATCAATCTGGTACACCTCCATATCACCAACTCACAATTATCTTCAAATGTTTTCACTTATTTCCCGGCCTGTTGGTGGGATCTGTGGAAAATATTCTGTTCACTACAAAGCCACATCTGTGAATGCTGTAAACGACCATGAGAGAGAGGACAGTGCTGAGCGTGCGCGCACACACACACACACACACACACACACACACCCCCCTTAGAGCTTCAACAAGCCAAAGCTTGAGGAAAAAGGCAAAAATGAGGGAATGGCAAAAGGCTAAGAAAGCAATTCATGAGCGTGTTCTTTTTTCTCGTACAGTAATAAATCATAATATCAATACCTCCAATAGCTCAGCATGAAAAAGAAAAAGGACAGCTAAAAAGATAAAGAGGAGGAGGGAGCAGCTGTCTGAGAGATATCCAGAACATTCCGTGCTGGAGCCGAAGTGCTTGGCCCTCGGGTTCACCTGAAACTCGGGTGCATGGGGGACAGAGGCCTGGGAGAAAGCTTTAAATGGGTCATTACAACCAATCCACACATAAACCAACCATTCGCCTAACCCTCACACTGGGCTATAAATTACAACAGAATTCTGTTTGATGTCCTTTCTATGTAAAGGTTTTAAAACTCCCAGGACAAGCCAATAAATAGCGGTCAGGTAGTGCATGGTAGGCTGTCAGAGCCAGTTAACCACTGCCCTCCCCCAGCCTCCCCGTCACACACTATGTTGTAACGCAGCAGGAGATTGATAGCTCACTCAACCATCACCAGCCAACTGTGTTTTCTGGACGATGGGCATGCGGCCAATTGTATCTCACTATTTGACCTGAGGCTGTGTGTGGACCCTTCACAGACACAGATGTGTAGCGGACAACTCAGCTGATCTTATCAGTAAAAACACACATAGGAGCACACACACACACACACACACACACACACACACACACACACACACACACACACACACACACACACACACACACACACACACACACACACACACACACACACACACACACACACACACACACACACACACACACACACGTCCCGAAACCGATGCTCGTTCACAGTGCCGACCACACGCGGTTAAATCCAACCACAGCAGACCAAGCTGGACACATTATGTTCTTAAAACTCAAACCTACATTACCAGCTACAAGGCTGCCTGTAGCACTATTGGATTTCTCTAAAGAAAAGAAGAGGGGCAGGGAAAATAAGAGCTGTAGCAAAATTCAAACTGCAGAGTGAAGCTCATTTAGAATCCCCCTAATGAGAGCTTGGATACAGTTGAACGGACAGGTCACCAAAGGGAAGAAGAGGTCAGCCAGGAGGTCGGGACAAACAGACAAGAGAAGTGGAGGCATGCAACTAAGTAGAGCCAGTGGGCAATGAGTGTGCGTAATACCGTGTGTGAGAATTTATGAGCTCTTCCTTGCTGATTCAACTAATAGAAAGCATGTGCAGTCGGGGGTATGAGCTTAAGGTGAGGTGTGACTCAGAGGAGAAGTAAAACCAAGAAAAGAGTATGAGGGACTACGAGTAATCTAAAATCAGAAAATGTACACCATCCAGCCAAACAAACATTTATATAAAGGCTGTAACATTTTACGCACCCTCCTCCTGGCTCTCCTCTCTCCCCTGACCCTCCTCCAG